CCACTCTGCCAGTCGGGAAGCGTTACGTATCTACATCAATGGACGACACTACTGGCGACATCTACATACACCACGGTCAAACTGGTAGTATGGTTGATCCTAACGGGATTTACAAGTACACCCCTTCCACTAATACAGTACATAGTTCTGGAAGCAAATTTGACTACCTCGAACTATCTCTGCGCCGCCATTCAGTCGTACACAAACCCCGTCGAAATCTACGTCCTTGGCGGAATCAGCTCCCCCACGAACATCGGCATCTTCAACATGGCGGATCACACCGTCCGCAATGCTGGCGACCTTGTCCGGCGCTATCACTTTTCTGGCGCCGTTGCGGATGGCACTGGTTCCGCGATATTGGTCGGAAACGATTTCAATGATGATTACATTGGCCCCGGCTATCCCGCGGCACGTATTAATTTGACATCCAAAATCACAACCTATGGCACTATGCCACTCCCCTTTATCTTGGGGACGCCAGCCGTAGTCTGGGATGGCGCGTATGCCTACGTCATCGGAGGATATAGGAACCTAACAGCAGGACATTTTCCGCACAGTATCATCAAAATTGATCCAACCACTCTGGCATACAGTGTCCTTCCTGTTTCAAACTTCCCAGGGAACGCGACGGACCGTTTAATGTATATCAGCGCGGTTTTTGTGGAACGACTCAACAGGATCTACTTCTTTGGAGGGTCCGCCTCCCGGGTCGGGTTGGGTGATCGGGACCACGACAGTATTTGGTATATCGAGCTAAGTCCTCCTGCCCCGACGACGACACCGGCGAGGACGACACCGGAGGCGACGACACCGGAGGCGACGATGACGACGACTGAACCCATCATATCCACGACAACGATGCGACCCGACATTTTCACCTGTGCGGACAAACTAGACGGCATGTATCCCCATCCCGCAGATTGTGCCAAGTTTATAAACTGCAATGACAACGTTACAACTGTGTTCGACTGCCCGGAGCCGGTCCTCTTTGACGTGGAGACAAGGCGATGCGTCCACCCGCATTTGGTCGACTGTCTGCTCAGCTGCGTTGGACGGGAAGACGAAATGTATCCGCATCCCTATTATTCCCTATGACTGCTCCCTCTTCATTTATTGTACGGATGAGGTCGCGAGCATCTACAAGTGTCTGGTCCCACTACTCTTCGATCCGGTCGGGCGACGGTGCGACGTTCCGGAACTGGTGGATTGCTTGGCTTAATATAGTCACGAACTATTAAATTTTGAAACTTGTAAATTATTCGGCAAGGTCGAGAATATATTTGATTGCATTATCAATCTTGTGTTTCACGAGATGAAATAATTTATGGAGCCTTATGGTCCCTGCATTGGGACGAAATCAATTTTTTGCTGCTATGTTACAGGGCGGATATGCGGCATAGATATGAGGGCAGTATTATTAGTTTTATTATTAGTATTATTAGTAGAATTTGTCAAAAACGGGTACAAAAATTGACTTTATTATTTGCCTAGTCATAAATATCATAAAATGGAAATTATTATAAGTTTTAGCATTCAAGGAAGACATTTTGTAATAATTTATTCAGTCCCAAGCTTTCGAGATGACTTATCTCTTCATCGATAGTAATAATACAGTAAAATCAGAAAATTATATGGTACTGACAACAATTTGCGCACTATTGTAGAAAAATAAATTTGATATCTAGGGGCGACGAAGTAGAGGTAACATAAAAGCATAAATCAATGAATTGAAACATTTTTTATGAGTACATTATGGTCGGATTTTTCATACAAATATGGTCGGTCACACCCCCTTATCCCAGGCGGTTGATAATTCACCCTCCAGCATCCCAAAACTTGATTTTGCAGTCTGTGCAGTTGCCCGATCTTGCTGAAAAAATAATATTTCTTCTACTGCTGAAGATTCCACTATTCATATTCCACGAAAGTGGGACAATCTTGTTTTGATAGTAGGCGGTATTAACATGTAAACCCTTAGATATGAAATGCAGCTTTGTGAAGCCACCTGCACAGAACCCAGATGCCATTATGATTTTGAGGTCGTGTTTTGGCCTCATACTGGGAGGTACATCTTTGCTTTCTTCTGTATTGCATCGCCTATTCTGAGAATGACCGTATAGTTCGATACAGCTTAAATCCGTAATTACCATGTTGGTACCCAGTTTGTTATGGACGGCAAAAACCCGTTTTTTTTCGATTGTTTCTAAAGATTTTAGTCAATGAAAGATATTTTTTATGAAGTGTTGTCTTTGAACTCCTATACACGTTCTTACCCCAGGTTGTCGTTTTTAAGTACTTACGAAGTGCTCTTTTGGCAACAAGTCTGTCCCACATCTTGTATTTACCTCTGGGTGAAGATATGGATGCGCGCAGTCTCCCTAACAGAACTGTCATACTTTCTGTACTTTAGAACTTTATCTGTCGTTTTGTTGTTGGCGAGAGTACTGCTGAACTTCGAGACAAATTCTTTTATTAAAAATATTTTTGCCGGGCCATGAGTGGACCATACTGTCAATTTTTAAAAAATTTGTTAGACACGATATCCCACTGCTGATAGTGTTCCCTTCTCTAATCTTAGGTGTTCATAAAATTGCTTGACCTTTGCCATCACTGTGTTAAAAAATCGTTTCCAAAACAGATCAACAAGAAAAGTTAAATATATGTACCTAGTGATCCAGCATGAAGTGTTAGTTGCGTCTGGTTTAAAAATGACAAGAGATACAAAATTGAGATAAGCGACAATTAGCTCCACAACTCATAGGGTTCAAAATGTATATTTTCGTTTTTGTCAATTCGACCAACTTTGAAGATTGAGGCCCTCGAAAGCAAGCGCGCGGCGATAATTTTTCACTTACATCAAAGCAAAAAAATCCGAAATTGTACAGGCCATGAAATGGCCAAAAAAAAAACTTTATGTTGGTCGCCGTATTAGCAGTAGATTCCTTGAGTCAGGGTCGACTAAAAAACGTAATGGTGGTGATCGTCTGAGGACAAAGAGGACGCCTGGGATGATCATAGCATTGCAAGTCAGGATCAGGAGAAATCCACGAATGTCAAAGAAAAAATTGGCCCTGCATGTGGATTTTCAAAATCTTCTATTCGCAAGACACTTTAATTTGACCTCAAGGTCAAGTCTCTCAAACGCGTCATGTGCCATATTCTGATCATTCCGCTAAAAGAAGCCAAGGTCAAAAAGCGGTACGGTAAAAGAAATAAAAAATGCATTCGAATTACTGGGCAAATTTTTTTCGGGATATAAATTTATTTCAATAAAAGCTATTGTGCACCTTACGACACACGCTTTTGTGTGCAAAAATAGAGGTCACAAGGTCCATCCATGAAAAAAGTGCGTAATTTTGTGGGCGCTTGGCGCTTGCGTTTTCTGAAGTGCATCAATGCTGGGCTAGGAAATCTGGAATTTCAAAACATGCATCCTAACGGAAATCTAACTGGCTTTCGATTGAATTAAAAAGCAAAACCGTATTCGTGAAATCCTTTGATCTGTAACTATTTACTTTACTAACACTTCAAGCTGAACCACCAGGTACAAGGCTCACCACACGACTGCCTGCACAACGTTTTCCTTCCTCGCAGCTTCGCTGCAGGCATGTCTCTATTTCTTGTAACTATCTATAGAGGGCGTTCAATACACTAAACTAAATTTGCAACTAAATTAAGTCTCATCTTGTAGGATTTGACAGTTGCACGGACTCAAATTCGTACGCATTATGCTTAGGGAACGTTAATAAAATACGTAACGTAAGAGGGGAGGGGTCTGAGGTCGCCTATCTCTACTATGTTAACCTAACCTAACATTGACAGGAGGGAGGGTCTGAACAAAATACTGACATTGTTAGACCGTCTGATAAATCGGGATTTAGAGTAACTTCCATATTTCATGAACAGCCCTTTTGATGTGGGTGTGATTTGAGGATGGAAGATTTTGTGATGATGATGGCGTGGTTTTGAGAAGGACAGACTTTTTAGGAAATTAAGAGTTCTCGGACAGCTTGTTAAGTTAATTTTGCTCAATGTGTTTTACTTCAGTTTAAAAAAAAAAACAAGCCTTGTCATACATAAAAATGGTTAGAACTTAAAATGAATTGGGCTGATGTGGCTCGTAAGGTAAGCTTGAGAAGAGTGGCCAAGAATATTGGTTGAGCATTGGTTAAATTACATTTTGAAGGTTAATTGAATTAGGATAATTTGATAAGAAGTAAGGAGACACATTATGTTATCATATCGGTATTTTGTCCTTTCATACAATTAGAAAAGGTAAAATTGAGAAGTACATATTAAGTAAGATAAAATATTTGTATAATTGAGACGGCGACATGTACATCAGGTCAAAGAATCAGGAAAAGACTGAACTTGAGAATAAGATTACAAATGGTTATAAAATCTCGTAATGTCCTTGGATGCAAACGAATTGGGTGGACAGTAAATGTAAAATAATAACTTATGAAACCGATCATTCCCCGGACCTTGAAGTGGCACCATTTCAACACTAAGAGTCATTATTTGAATCTTCACCTTGAACTGGCAGTAAACACAATTTCACAATTGGTCGTTTTAAAGTTCCATCCTTGGTTTTTAGTGTAACAATTCTGGTGTGACCATCGGTTCCTGGATGCAGTTCGACTACACGTCCTAGGCGCCAGCGCATGGGGGGCATATTTTCGTCCTTGATTGTGACTAAATATCCAATTGCAATGTCTTTGTGTTCTTTCATCCACTTGGGGCGTTGTTGAATGCGAGTAAGGTACTCGGATGACCACCTCCGCCAGAATGACTGGTACAATTGTTGGATGAGTTGCCAGCGGTTGAGTCGACCGGCGTTAAGATGGCTGAGGTCGGAATCGGGCGCAGCGGTGAGTGGGGCTCCAATCAGGAAGTGGCCTGGAGTTAGAGCAGACAGGTCACTTGGGTCACTCGATTCTTGAGTTATGGGTCGGGAATTCAGTAGAGCTTCTATTTGGATAAATGTGGTACTCATCTCTTCAAAGTTGAGTCGGGTTGTGCCAAAAGTTCGGATGAGACACCACCGCAGAGTAGGCCTTTTCGGATGCGTCTGAAAATCCTAGAAGGGCGAGCTGGCAGTCGGAAGTTGGTGAAGGTTTGATACAGCGTGGAATTCGAATTGATTCAATTTGTTTTAGTTGCGACTTGTAGTGGATCCAACTCCGTTCAATCTCTTCTGGTACTGGATCATCCCATCCTAGCTCCAATTTCCATAACTGTTGCATCATGATTTTAGCTGTGACGACAACGGGAGCCAACCAGCCGATAGGGTCGAAAATCTTGGCGATGTCTGAGAGTATGCAGCGTTTTGTAAGAACTTTCTTCTCTGTGCTCGTGAGGTTATCAATCTTGAAGAAGAATTGATCAGTCGACGGGTGCCAGTATATCCCCAGTGCTTTGATGGTGTGACCAAGTTCCACGGACAATACTGACTTTGTTTCACGTAGCGATTCTGGTAAAGCGTCAGTGACTTCGGGGTGGGTGGATGACCATTTACGTAGTTCGAATCCTCCACATTTCATGAGGTCGAGGATTTGTTGTTGAAGAAGTAATGCTTCTTTTACTGTTTCGGCTCCGCTCATACAATCGTCCATGTATAAGTCACGTCGGGCTACTACGGCTGCAAGAGGAAATTCGTCAGCATTGTTCTGGGCGTGTTGGTCGACGACAGCAGTGGCTAAGTAGGGGGCAGGACCGGTGCCGTAAGTAACGGTAAGTAGGCGATAGTCCTTGATGGGATGTTCAGGGCTTTCTCTCCACACGATGCGCTGGTAGTCGGTGTCCAATTTTCTTATTAAAATCTGGCGATACATCTTTGCAATGTCTGCAGTGAAGGCGACAGGATGTGTGCGAAATCGTAGCAGAATGTTGAACAGCGGTTCTTGGATAGTGGGACCAACCAATAAGCAATCGTTGAGAGACTTGCCGTTCGTGGTGCGAGCAGAGGCGTCGAATACAACCCGAAGTTTGGTAGTTGTACTTTCCTCCTTCAATACGTAATGGTGAGGGATGTAGTAATTGTTGCTGGACATTACTTCATTTTGAGGAACTTCTTCCATGTGACCAAGTTCCTGGTACTCCTTCATAAAAGCGTGGTACTCTTGACTGACTTCTGGTTGTCGGGCAAGGCGTCGCTCTAATTGTTTCAGTCGTTGGATTGCCATGTCGCGTGATTCGCCGAGGTTGGGTGGATAGGACTTAAAAGGAAGATGAACAACGAATTTCCCATCATCTCTCTGCGAATGAGTTGAGCGGAAGTGCTCCACACAAGTATGCTCTTCTTCTGTAAGTGGTACGGCTTCTGGTAACGTCTCAAGTTCCCAAAAAGTGGTAAGACGATGGTCCAAATCAGCATTTGATACCTCTACTCTTGTTGGTGCTTCATCATTTTTACTTAGTTGAACATGAAATGCATGATTATTGTTTTTTGTGCTCTCTACCTCACCCACCACCAGCCATCCTAGGTCGGAATTGAGGGCGAAGGGTTCTCCTGTTGCTCCAGTGATTTTGTCACCACGGATCAGGCCATAGAAGAGAGATGCTCCTAGCAGCATGTCGATCTCTCCAGGATTGTGCCAGGTCTCATCTGCTAATTCGAGCGAGTTGAGATGACTTAGATTTGCGTTGCATGGATGAAGAGGAAGATGAGTTGTGACCGTGTGCATGACACACGTATCCTTTGCTCCAATGATGAGCGATGAGTTGAAGTGAGGGCTGAATTCCAAGTCCACGATGCCTTGGGTTGTGCCTACCGGTACCTCAGATAGCCCGGTAACCAATGCTTGCTTTTTGTTGTAGCGTATCCCCAGGCGTCTGATGCATTTTCGGCTAATGATATGCGTATCAGAGCCGCCATCCAGAAGGACACGTACTTGTTGCTGAACTCCTTCAACATCTCGAACGTGAACAATTGCAGTTGCAAGGAGAGTCTGGCCAATTGTGTTGAATGTTTGAGCATGATGTGTGAGTGACGGATTGTTGCCGGTTGTGGGGGCGTTTTGACCAGTCGGTTTGGCTCTGTGGATGAGGGAATGATGTCTGCGCCCACACTGCTTACAGGATGAAGTCGTGGTGCACTTATGTACGGCGTGGCTACCTCGGAGACAATTGTAGCAAAGATTCAGTTTCTTGACTACCTCGATGCGATCTGGAACTTCCATGGCCAAAAACTTGCTGCATTTGAAAGGGGCGTGAGATTCTTGTGCACAAATCTTGCATGGTTCTGACGATGGTGATGGATTTTGGGCATGATGCACATGATTTTTCTTGGGAGCTTGCTGTTGCTTATCAAATGGCTTGATAATTTGAGTAACTTCTTTGGGGCCAGCCGCTTCTAGCGCCCTGGAACTCGAATAATCCCTGCAGGGGAGGGACGCTGCTATCTTTCAGACTCTGCTCATACAGTTCCTTGGAGTGTGCGTCCAATTTCTGGTAGAGAGTGAATAGCAGGATTGAATCCCATTGTTGTACGGGTTGTCCCAGGATCTCCAGTGACCTGATGCACTCGCCGCTAACGTCAACAAGGGAACGAAGAGTAGTCGATGTGGGGCTTACGATTGGGGCCTGATTGATGAGTCGCTTTAAAATAGCAAAGAGTAACTGACGATCGTTCTGATACCGGTCTCCTAGCTGTTTCCAGGCGATATCATAATTGGCGTCGCTGATGACCAATGATTGGATGAGTCTCGCTGCTTCTCCTTTCAGTTGGGTCTTCAGATATGCAAGTTTCTGAGTATTTGATAGGTGTGCGTTGGTGTGAATTGCTGTACTGAACATGTCGCGGAACGATGTCCATTCTTCTATCTTCCCGTCGAAAGTGGGAAGTGTTAGTTTTGGCAACCGGATGTCCACTCGCGGAGCTGCTCCTGTGCTTGCCGTAGGTGTGGGCGTGGTTGGAGCCAATGAAACCTTGATGATTTGGAATTGGCTGCTCAACTCCATCACTCTGTCCATTAGCTGTTCGTACTCATCCTTGTGGGGCGTAAGGTCGATAGGGTCGCAATTGATGACAATTCTCTCGAATGTTTCTTCAACTGTTGCTTGATTCCGGGCGACGGTTTGCAAATAATTGTCAACTTTACCAACGGTTATTGGATTAGTAGGATGATCGGCCAGCTTCTTCTCGAGCCATTCAATGGTGTGTTGAGCTCTTTCTCGTTCTTTTCGTGCCTTCTCAATTTCTTTGTATGGAGCCATGTCTATTTCGAAACGTACTCAAATCACTTTTCACGCACTTTTTAGAGTTTGAATTCACTGTAATCCGGTTCGATAGAGACCAAAAATGATGTGGGTGTGATTTGAGGATGGAAGATTTTGTGATGATGATGGCGTGGTTTTGAGAAGGACAGACTTTTTAGGAAATTAAGAGTTCTCGGACAGCTTGTTAAGTTAATTTTGCTCAATGTGTTTTACTTCAGTTTAAAAAAAAAAAACAAGCCTTGTCATACATAAAAATGGTTAGAACTTAAAATGAATTGGGCTGATGTGGCTCGTAAGGTAAGCTTGAGAAGAGTGGCCAAGAATATTGGTTGAGCATTGGTTAAATTACATTTTGAAGGTTAATTGAATTAGGATAATTTGATAAGAAGTAAGGAGACACATTATGTTATCATATCGGTATTTTGTCCTTTCATACAATTAGAAAAGGTAAAATTGAGAAGTACATATTAAGTAAGATAAAATATTTGTATAATTGAGACGGCGACATGTACATCAGGTCAAAGAATCAGGAAAAGACTGAACTTGAGAATAAGATTACAAATGGTTATAAAATCTCGTAATGTCCTTGGATGCAAACGAATTGGGTGGACAGTAAATGTAAAATAATAACTTATGAAACCGATCACCTTTACTGGGTGTAATCGATTAATCAATCAAGAGATAATAAATTATTGGACTTACAATTACAGCATGATTTGAGTTATGTAGTAATTGTGTCCGATAATAAATAATTCTGACCAGAACTGGGGATAAGCTACATGCATACATACGTCAAGTTAAAATGGATTGTAGTACATTTAGGGGTTCCGGGCCAATAGGGAAAATTTGTCATCTTTTGTCACGGCCCAGTGAACATATGTAGACAATAATCTCCCAAGAAAGGACGTAGTTGTATTGATTGCACGATTGCTCTTTGTTAAACCTGAAATTTTGCTAAATTGAAATGACTGGTTTATTGTTATTTATGGGATATTAGTTGGTTATAACGTACATACATACATACGCCGCTAGGAGTGGCCAAGTGGAGTCACCTGCATATTTATGAAGGAAACATTTAAGTAAAAAAGAACAAAAGAACTAAAAACCAAGGAAACCCGAAATAATGTAATGGTTAATTGCTTTTCACTTTTAGCGTTTTATGAAAACTAAATATTGTATTTCACAAATTAATTAAAGCAAATAAATTAAAGTAAAATTAAATAAAACAAAATAGTTTTCATAAAACGCTGGTTCGGAGCGAGCGAACGATTGGGTGAGCGAGTGGGAGTAGACAACATCTCCTCCACTCCCTCACCACCATGGTCAAACGCTCAATATCGTCACAACTTGACGAAAAGTGAATTTAACACGGAAATGACTTCAGTTCCTTGCAAAAGTCATACATTGTGCATGTTTTTGTATAGGTGGGACCCCTGGGGGCGGGGGGCAGGTTGGAAGTAGTGAGTGCAAGATTAAATTTACCTAGGGTGCTTTTTGTATACTCAAAAATGAGGAGGTTTGTCATTTTTAATAAAAATAATTTATGAGACAAAGATTCGGATCTTTCCAATCGAATCCCATTGTGGGATTCACGGCAAGGGTTTATAAATATTTATAACATTACATATTTAGGATATTTAAGTTACAATACGAAACTCAACATGTTTAGCGGCATTAGCAGTACCACGACAGTTATGAATTATTTACCAACTTCTGCAGATAAGATCATTGTTAATATCTGTGCACTGCAAAAAATCCGGTGTAAATTCAACACCGTGCGGGGTGCATATATGACTCCCCCGTCGCGGCGCAAATCATTGTCACCACCATGGTGTCCAATTTACACCACGTGGTGACAAATTTACACCGAATTTACACCAAAATATTTACACCCGCGTGACTACACCGCATTATTTGCAGTGTGCATCAGGAGCCGGCCCACGGTGATACAATTCATAATAAAATGTACAGGGTGGTCCAAAAAGGAGGTTACTAGGTGAAAATTTTGTACACACTTTTTGCCCTATATCCATTGGTTACTAATTTATTATCAGCAGATTTTGTCGAATTTTTTTATCGACCAGCAAATAATTTTGGTAGCTAGTGGATATAAGCCAAAAATGTATGAAAATTCTCCTTTTTGGACCACCCAGTATATTATGATTCTTTCATGGTAAATATATCCGTCCAGATTAATGTTGTTTATCCGGTACAGCCTAATTTTTAGCCTGAATCGTACCAATAACTGGCAAAAACAACAAAAACTTAACTAAACCCAACCTACCCAAAGAGTATGTAAGCGATGCACGGTACAGGTACGAAATCGCTTACTAAGTTCAGTGTTATATCGATTCCATATCACATTGGCCCCGCCAGATTGACCCGCGACATGTCGTGGGTCAATATGTCGCCGGGTCAATATGTCGCGGGTCAATCTGTCTGGGTCAATATGACGTAAATAAATAAATAATCGGGTCATTCCATCAGCGTTAAAATCGATCCAAATTATCTTCCTCACTAATCTTGTAAAATAGTAGGCTGCCTAAACACGTCGCTGAGCGTGACGCTGAGCATGATCCGTGTGCATGATCCGTGTGCATCATAACAAATGATATCATCAGTTAAAACACGAATCAATCATTTTTATCTTAAATGCGACCAGTGGTCTGCATATTTTTGGTATCCAGGTCGATATATTTGGAGCATGACATTACCACTAATTTTTATAATATGTATACGTAAACTAGACGATAAAGCCCGTCTTAAAGACTGGCGTCAACTGTACACTCAAAAAAATTGGGTGATACTATGTGGCTCTACCGCGGTGGTTACGACTTTATCCCCAAGGAGAAACACTAAATTAATTCTGCGAAAATCAAATTTTCTACCCTGCTGGCAACAATTTCTTGCCGGGTAGTGATAAATTTAAATTTCGCAGAATTATTTGTTACTCTTTGGCGACGAAATCGTAACCACCGCGGTAGAGCATCATAGTTACTACACGCGGTGACGATTTTATTACCAAATTATTTTGAGTGTACGATAACAGATTTTCCAAACCATAATTGAATTTCCAAACCGTACCTTAGCTTACTGTCGACAGCGGACTGTCAGTACCGTAGCTGCCTATCTAAAACGATCTAAGGGGGGGGGGCCTTATGGGCCTACGGGATGGAATTTCATAAATGTAATATAGATTTCAAAACTTTTATAACTTGGTAACTCTTTTTACTCGGTAACTTTAACAACTTGGTAACTCCATATCTCCATCTACTCCCTTTCGACCAATTAAAATGCAGGACTCAGTGTTTTGTGTGCAAGTAACCACCTGCAAGAAACAACTGCAAGAAAGTGGTTTCTTGCAGTCATGCTTACTGCAAGGATTGCAAGAAAGTGCGAGAAATAGGCGCCGTCTACCCATTCGCCTATATATTACGGTAGGTGGCGCCTATTTCTTGCAGTTTCTTGCACCTTGCAGTTTCTTGCAGTTTCTTGCTTTACAGTGGTAAAAATGCCTAAAAGGGTGCAAGAAACGAAACACTGGCAGGACTGTTACGGAATGTTATAAAAAGGGGTTAACGGGACAGGTTTTCGTAAATTATATTATAGATAGAACAGATAGTTTACCATTTCATAAACGCTGCGAGTCATGTTTCTAATTAAGGATGAAAATCCACACTGATTGCCCCAAAAATTATTTATAACATCACCACATAATGGCTTCATGTTTCGCGTTGCATTGTTGCATACGTAATTCAGCCTTTGACTTAATTGTGGAATTCATGGCGTCATCATAATAATCCCACCTGCAAACAAGTTATACAAAAGGTTGTGCAAAACGGTGTGCAAAATGGTTATGCCTTGCTCTGTCATACAGGAATCTTTTCGTGATTGATTCTGTCATTGTTATTAAATATAGATTGTATTATATTGTTAATGCGTGTGTGTCCCTGCTACATAAATGACATCAATCAATGTCAGATTAAAAACCTTAAGCTTAAAACCAGTGCAGCTTGATTTAGCCCGAGTCAGGGCGCACATTTCACTATACATATGCGTTCCCATTGTAAGGCATAAATTTCAGTTCTGTAATATAAATCGCTACTGGGCAACCCCTAACGTCAAATTTCAGCTCGCTAGGTCATTTCTTAAAATTGGTGTCGGTCATAGGACAGGGTCTCCAAATGTCATCATTTTCATTCAAAATCTTAAGTACATACCATCATTTGACTCCTAGTACCAAATTTCAGCTCCCTGCCACTATTTAGAACAATTGGTGCATTTTAATGGACCCACTTCGACCACGCCCACCGGTCTCGGTAGAAGCTTCATGGAGCATGCATTTCTTCGAAGTTGCACCTATTTAAATCGAATTTTGTGCATCACTTTGGGTCCAGAATAGTTGGGACGATTAATTGGTGCATTTTAATTGAACATTTTAATCAACCTGAGGGTTAACCACTTTATCGAATTTGCTCATCTTCGAACCTACCATTTCTCGCATATATACAACTGTGAGAAATTTCAAGTCAATCAGATAAGAAATATCACTATTTCAAAAAATTGGTCCATTTTAATCGAGATATTTCCGTCACGGCAACTGGTCAACCGTTCGACCTATCTTCGAACTCGTCTAAGACGAGTTAAAAATTTAAAGTCGATTCGATAAGTTTATCGAAAGTTATCGTGCGGACCGACAGACAGACGGACGGACACGAACGGACATAAATCCTTATTAGGGCTGAAAGGAGCATGCCACACGGCTCTTAAAAGCTTCTACTGATTGTGCCGGGTAGGGTATAAAATGAGGTACGCCTTGGGTGCGGCACCCATTCAAGTTTCTCTTGAGACCAGACATACTACAGAATGAGGAATTATATAACGATCGCAACACTTTTGGCTGGACTTGCCATTGCGACACATTGTGTCAATGTCCACTCCTCAAACGTAATTTAATATCGCTACAAGGCGGTTAATTTTAAAAATTAAAAATTAACAATATATTATTCCCAACTTGTACAGTCAACCCGACAGGCGGAGTTCTGGATTAATGGTATTGAGCATGGACAAGCCACCTTTAATCCGAACGTTGCAACCTATCAAGTCTACCGGAACGTGATGACATTTGGCTGCGTGGTAAGGAATAAATATTTACATAATAAATAATACACTCTAAGAAATGCTATCACCGGGCGGTGACTATATATGACTCCACCGAGCAGTAGTAGTATGTCACCGGCCGGTGGTATGTAATGTATCACTTGTCGGCGGTAATACGTCACCGCGCGGTCGTGGCTTGTTACCAATTCGGTGGTATAGTATCTATCAAATAGTGGTGATATAATGTCACCAAGAAGATGGCGATGCCTACCACCATAAGCGGTAGAGTCATATGGTGATGAACGTGGTTACGGCTATCACCCAGTTTCTTAGAGTGAACTTAAACACCTCACAAAAACGTGTTACATAATATGTTAAATTAAATTATAGGGGGATGGAATCACGGACGACACTGCCTGCATTGTACGATTTATTTATTGTGATTCTGCATCCAAATTTGTTACTAATGATTAGCACACCTTTATTATTTAGAATACCGCAATTTCTTCAGGAGGTAGATGTGGACAAGGCTGTGGTTCATCTACTATTCAACCAGCCTTGATCTACTTCCCGCCCGGCAGGTGGGGTTATTTTTTACGTTAATAGCTCTGAGCCACGTTGTAGTCGAGCTGATGGCGCATGATTCATCCTTCTTAGGTACCGCGTCTCATCGCCGATTATCATGTACTACTTCTCACAATTGGTTGGTGACGCTTTGAATCCACCTACGATCGTGGCAGCCCCTAACTTCTCAGGGATGGCGGTACTTGATGCAAATCGTAAGAATATTTTAATCTAGATTGAGATTTCTTCTAAGTTAAGGTAGACCCTGACATAATGCGAAACATACCATTTTACTCCTTGGCAACCCACACTGCAAATAATGCGGTGTAGTCACGCGGGGGTAAATATCTTGGTGTAAATTTGATCTAAATTTGTCACGGGTTGGTGTAAATTTTTCACCGTATTGGTGCAAGTTTGTCACCACGTGGTGTAAATTTGACACCATGTTGGTGACAATCATTTACACCGCGAAGGGGGAGTCATATACATATGTACCCCGCACGGTGTTGAATTTACACCGGATTTTTTGCAGGGTATGTTCCCATTTTGTTTATGTGTAATTATTAAAACCTTAATTTATACTTGATAGCGTACGGTGCCGGAGGAAATAATTGGTACACCAATCAAAACAACTTTTTCCGCCAAGTTAGAAACTTTGTCATTGATCTGACTCTAACACCAACCAACTCTGGCGCAACGGGCATGCATTGGCAAGGTTTGTCCACCATTATCTTAATAAACTTAACTAGCATGACAATTAACGCACATGTCTTGATCCACGCAGTCTCCCAAGCCACATCTTTAATAAACATACGGTTTGTCATGTCCCGAGCTCTGGGAACTAATCAGAAGGGAGTTTTCATCGAAAATGGTTCTGGCGGTTTCATGTCGGACTTGAAATTCGAAGTACGCTCCACACTCCTGTATCCATTTAAGCTTAGAGTTGACGGGATTAACAAAATCATCTCATGATTACAGGGAGGACAATACGGGCTACAGATTGGTAATCAGCAATTTTTATCAAGAAACTTGGAATTTGACGGCTGCGACACTGCCATCATGATGATTTGGGTGAGTTATGTTCCACTAAATTTCAAGTTTACAACTTGGAGCGGTAACGTTACCATATTTTGACGCAGAATTGGCAATGGACATTCTCCAATCTTTTAATTAACGATTGTCGCGTCGGAATTGACATGACGGCATCTTCCGACATCGTAAATTCAGGCGTAGGTTCCATACTCTTTATGGACTCGACCGTCTCGAACACCGGGTCAGCTGTTAGGCTTCGACTCAACACTGCACCTAATGTGGACGATACCTCAAACACGCTACTTTTGGATAACGTCATTCTCCAAAATGTCATTAACGCTGTCGTCGACATGAATGGTGGGACCGTGTTGCCTGGCGGTTCGATGACAATTGCCGCCTGGGGGAGAGGCTCGAGATACACGGATGATTCAGGAAACGTCGCATTTGCAACGGCAGACCTTCCACCGGTCAATAAAAGCCCACTCTTGTTAGGTGAACAGGGTCGTTTCTTTGTGAAATCTAGGCCGCAATACGAGCAACTCGGGGTGAATGACTTTGCCTCTGTGAAAGGTACGAGATTGGATATCACAAAATAATGAAAAGGGGACGTTTTTAATGAACCGATATTTATCTATTTCAGCCGGTGGAGCAATGGGCGATGGTGTCACGGATGATTCTACCGCTATCCAAAACGTTATCAATGCTAACGTTAATTCAAAAGTTGTCTACTTTCCGGCAGGTATGTAATCTTCCACTTTGCCTTGATCAAGTGGTAGTAAACTAGAAAGATTTGTCTTTTCAGGAAGCTACGTTATCAGTAAAACCGTCACCGTCCCACCCGGCTCTAGAATCATTGGAGAGCTTTGGAGCGTGTTGATGGCTGGAGGCCCACAGTCGGAATTCTTGGACGAGAATAACCCACTTCCCATGCTTAAGGTTGGAAATCCCGGGGATGTTGGGACCGTTGAGGTTTGCATTGCTCAGTTACTAAATTGTCCTAGTTAGAGACCTATAACTAATTTTTTATACATATTTTAGATCACAGATTTGTTCTTCGCTTCCAAAGGAGCCCAACCGGGAGCCATTCTAGTTCAATGGAATATCAAACAGAGCGCCAATGGAGCCGCCTGCATGTGGGACAGTCACTTTCGAGTTGGTGGATTTAGGGGGTCAGAACTTACAGGTCGGTGGTGCTCATTTAATATGAATTTGCAAATAATGCGGTGTAGTCACGCGGGTGTAAATATCTTGGTGTATATTCGGTCTAAATTTGTCACCACGTATTGTAAATTTGACACCATGGTGGTGACAATGATTTACACTGCGGTGTAAATGTATGTGGGGGAGTCATACATGCACCCCGCACGGTGTTGAATTTACACCGGGTTTTTTGTAGTGTACCGTTAATGACCAGTTGTCCAAATAATCTGTAGGCACCAATTGTCCCAGGGGTCCAGTCAATGGGCGTGAGTGCATGGGAGTGCACACACTCCTTCACGTAACGGAATCGGGAAGTGGACTCTTTGAAAATGTTTGGGCTTGGGTTGCTGGTAAATACATTTAATAGGCAGTTTGTGCCGTTACGTTTTTAGAATTTCCGTAACGCTCCGTATCTCACGGGAGTGGGCAAAATTTCCGGAAGAAATTTGCAAATTATGGTGGGGGTAGGGTTCACATTTTCCGTATGCATTTTGAAAATTTTGACCACTCCCGTGAGATACGGAGCGTTACGGAAATTCTAAAAACGTAGCTCCACAAACTGCCTAATATCAAAAATTAAAAGAAATATAGGCTCTACTTATCAATACCTTATTTTGTTTAGACCACGACTTGGACGTTAACGAGGTTCGTGTAATTTTGCATGCTTTGTTTTTTTGGGTTAAAGTTTTTTAGACACCAACTTATTATTTTTGATATGATAGAAGTTGATCTTCGATTTATAAAATTGGTTTTTTTGCTTCAATTTTTAGAAGTTTCCGAACCCTGAAAAATTGAATTAAAATTAGAACTCAAAGACTTTTAATCATAAACTTTTTATCATAAACTCATATTTTCTCTTCCGCGCCATAAACAATAGAGAGTTAGAATTATTAGGTTTTTGGAATTTCCGGAAAGCCCCGTATCTTGAAAGTGCACTCAAAATAATTTGGTGATACTATTTGGCTCTATCGCTGTGGTTACGACTTTATCCCCAAAGAGTTACACTAACTTCTACCAAAATCAAACTTTCTACCATGCTGGTAACAATTTCTTGCCGGGTAGTGATGAATTTAAATTTCGCAGAATTATTTGTTACTCTTTGGCGACGAAATCGTAACCACCGCGATAGAGCATCATAGTTACTACACGCGGTGATGATTTTATTACCAAATTATTTTGTGTGTGGGCAAACTTTCCGGATCAAATTTGTCAATCGTAGCAGGAGGTACAAACTCTTTACATTTTCCATACACATTTTATTCCAGGGTCAAATTTCCATTTACACCGGCCGAGGAATTGTGGTAAGCAACTAATCCGCAAATGCTAACAGTAAACAACATATAATATCAGCAAAACTTAATTTCTCCAGGTCGGTGCCACTGATGGGCCTGTGTGGTAAGTTATTGCTTAAATAAATCAGTTTCCATTCCCACTCACGAACTAATTGTAATCGTTCCGAAGGTTCTACGGGACCCAGTCAGAGCACAATGTGCTCTCACAGTACCAAATTTCTGGCGCCAAAAACGTTTTCCTGACCATGATCCAATCTGAAACTGCATACTGGTAATCCTCTAATATTCTACAAGTTGATGAGCTCTGTAACCAGTGTTGCAAGTGGTATAAACCACTTTTTACCAGACAGTGGGAAAAAGTGCCTTTTTCCCACCCACCAAAATCAGTGGGAAATGGGAAAAAGTGGAAAACAGCTAGTTCTTATGCAGATTACACTAGATGGCGCTCCATTTTTCCCACTTCCCAGTGGGACAAAGTGGGTGGGTAAAAGACACTTTTCCCACTGTCCTGGGAAACACTGTTTTGGACGGGAAATATGCAACACTGTCTGTAACCATAAAAAATTACTTTGAAGGCAATCATCCCCTCCTGCCCCGGCACCTTACACCCCAAATGCCGCCTTTGACGACCCGACCTACGCCCACTGCACTCCAGGTGATGTCCGCTGCCCAATGTCGTACGCTGTAACTGTCCGCAACTCTGAGAATGTGTACATCTACGGTGCAGGGATGTACAATTTTTTCAACAATTATGATCAGACTTGCTTAAACACGGAGGACTGCCAGACTTCAATGATCAATGTGGAAAACAACAGCAATTTCTATATGTTCAATGCCAACACCAAGGCTGCCATTAACATGGTGGTGGAAGGAAATACAAAAGTGTTGGCTAGATCGGGAGATAACACGAATGGCTTTTGTCAAACCATTAACGCATTTTTGGCACATGTTTAAACAATAAAGTTACCAGGATATATTTAATTGGAACGCTTTTGTAATATGTACCTTCATTACGTAAAACCACTAATTTCCCTTGTCATCCCATTCCCCCACTCAAATTTTTGTAAAATATTTATGCTTCACTAATCTTTACAATTCCAGAGTTTCGTAAAGATTCGATCAAAAATAAAATTTTTACGAGAGTTCAAAGTGAGGATCTCAAGAAAAGAGTTCTTTAAGTACAAAAATGCGTTCGGAAAGAATAAAAGATATTTGCAGAACAATATCATCAGCTATGGATGACAAATGAATTTCGGTAGTTCCAATTTTTATTCTGCAAATGTCTTTACTATTTCATATCCATTAACTCGTACAAGTCATTTGTGCACTGCATATAATGCGGCGTAGTTACGCGGGTGTAAATATCTTGGTGTAAATTTGTCACCGCTCGGTGTAAATTTTTCACCATATTGGTGCAAGTTTGTCACCACGTGGTGTAAATTTGACACCATGGTGGTGACAATGATTTACACCGCGACGGGGGAATCATATATGCACCCCGCACGGTGTTGAATTTACACCGGAATTTTTGGAGGTATGGATGAGCAAATAAAAGAGTGAAATGCATAAATTTCGAGACGCTCATAGCCTGGCACACTCAAAATAATTTGGAGACAAAAATTATTACCTTGATCGCATAGTGCCGGAGACAAGCGACACTAATGTTGCGGAGAAGAAATTATGTACAACCGCGTAGTAAAGTTTTGCTACCGACCAATAATAAAGTTGTCATCCGGCAGTAACAATTATCATTGCGCGGATGCAATTTCATTACTGAACTGATATATTTTCTTCACAGCGTTAGTGTCGCTTGTCTTCGGCCTTGTAGGCACTATGCGATCGAGGTAATAATTTTTGTCTCCAAATTATTAAGAGTGCAGTATACTTAGGAGTAGAAGGTCGCAGGTTGTCAACGCCAGATTTTGATGCCTTTTGGATATGTTGGAGGTCTATATGAGTGTACGAAAAGTGAAGAAGGGTTTTACTCCATGGCCCCATTTGCGCCCGCCACACCCTCTCAAAGGTGCAAAAACAGCGAGAATTTCCGCACTTAAAAAATCGCCAAAAATCGAGTTTTGTTCAGATTTTGGAAAAATTTACATTTTTGTGGTCCCAGATAGTTGCTTAATCATATCCAATAGCAAGCTCAACTTTTTTGAAATTTCGCATTTTTTCAAGTCAAACCCTTGCTCAGGAAATTTTCGAAAATAGTGAAAATTTTAAAAAGTAGAGATTGCTATTGAACATGATACAGCAACTATCTGGGATCAAGAATATGTAATTTTTTGAAATCCGAGCAAATTTAATGATCTATGTCAGCAGGAAATGAGCTTCGTTATAATTATCTGTTCAACAACCTTTAGTCTACGCCAAAAACGAATTGCACAGTAGAAAGATCCACAAATGAGAGAAAGTCGAGACAAACTGCTAAGACGACAAGGCGAAATTAGTGGGATAGCGACGACTGTCAAGGTCACAAAAGAAGGTTTTACTTGTTGGCAGAATGGTTGCGACATGATCGTAAAAATAACAAGTGAACGCATTATTAACAACCTTTTGAAATACTATTTGAATTTAGAGTAAATTAAAGTTGACGGATTATTAACAAAATTTCTCTTTGTTTTCAAAATTCCAAATCAAATAGTATGCTTAACGGATTCATTTTAACAACGTTTATTTATTAGTAACACACCAGGTTTGCAACCTATGCTTACACCTAATGTGTACATAACGTGTCTAATTTAACAATACGTTAATAACTAAATTCCATGTTTAGAAGTGAGTAACTTAATTCCGAATTATTTATAAAATTCCTATTTAGTAATAATTTGTTTACAGAATCTCTTGTACCATAAAAATTCATATCAACTCGATTAGTTATACTCCAATAGGTTCAAGCAGTACCCTACAATAGTTGTTACTCGAATTTGTCAGGAGGGTATATAAATTCAAGGCAGTGGCCAAATATTTTACCAAACGTCTTCTGATGTATTAACCACGTTTCGAGTTGTTATCAAAATTTTGAATTATTAGCAAAAATTTACTCAAATTTTTGCTGATAAAAAATTTCCTCAAATTTACAGAAGCTCATCATGTTAATCTTGTCAAATAACGGTAACTAAAAGTCAAATCTCATGCACACATAGAATTGGCCAACTAAATTTTTACTAATTATGGCTATCATTGAACAATACGTTAATAACGTTAAATAAATTACATAATTCGATCCTGTACTAATTAATACGAAAATTGAAATTATTTTGCAAAATTCTGCAAATTGGAAATTGGGGGCCCAAATTCAAGGCAGTCGCCAAATTCTGGTCCACAATAAATTTTAAAATTATTCCTATTGATATTTCACCCAATTTTGAGACAAAAATCAAATTTCTCAAAATTCGAAAAAACTTCGCACATTTTGTCTCCTAGCTCAAAATCCATCAATGCGCCCCCAATATTATTACGGATTCTTCATGTACACAAATTTACGCAAATTTTAAGCTATCATACATGAAAATCGACCGAAGCCGAAAAAACATATGGAAAAAAAACCTATCTATACCATGCTTAGATGGTATAGATAGGTACTAACGAGGTGAAATTATATAGACTAGTAAAATGGTGCCAGACAATACTGAGAAAGGCGGATTTTAGTGAGTTTTCCATTCTAACAAGGCAGAATTCTGTGTACACGTATCTCATGAACAATTATTACGCCATTTTTTAGTATAAGGCGCATTGGATAACCATTTGTATGAATAGGTAGCATTTCTGGGTTTCTTCGAACACGACGAATCATTTCATAACTTGCGAGGTGTTAAAACTCGTGGAGTATAGTAATATGTTCTTGTATCTACGTTCTTGTTCTTGCAGAACATAGTAATATGTTCTGCAATTTGCAAGATGTAGGAATGCAAGATGAAGTTCCACTTCTTCTTTCGTAAAGGTTAAACCGAGTGGAAGGTATTATTTACGAGTGGTATTTTCGTCATTTCCTGTTATTTTAGTTTACCAGTCTGTTTTTCTAAGAGTTATTTTCTGAGGTAATGAGCAGGGTAACGGTATACCAAGTAATGCATGGGTAAAACCAGGTATTGAAACCAACACTTTGTAAACCAAGTTACATTAGCTTATAAATGTTGACATTCTAATAAAGGATTACTTGACTTGATTTGTGCATTTTATGTATTATATTACTTCGGAACGTTATGGTGCAAATTTTCGCCAGATAAAGCCAGTATCTCCGTATAAGCCAGTATAGGGTTGGTGGCTGGTTAAAACCATTATACGCTACTACATATGAAATATATCTCATCAGCAAATAAAGAGCATAAAGCACAATATTCACTAAAAGATCGGAATACCACTGGTAATACCAGTCAGGTAATAAATATACCAGTTCGGCGGAGTTTAAGAACAAAAGTTAAAGATTGCCAAAAATCTACCCTGATCACTTAGCCTGAGCACCTTGGCAATTTCCATTAAACTCCTCCACGCAACACCAAAATGTAATTATCCAGGGTACGATGAATACCCAAATGTTGAATACATCGCATATTCATATTCTCATCTAGTTCTCCGTAATTGTGTTATTATTTACAGGTTTGAGAAAAACTAATTTTTCTTAGACGTTTAATCTGATGATACACATACACCAGCATTTACTAATTATAACATAGATCTATTCTATCGATTTATGTTACCAACATTATACAGTGGGTTGTCAAAAGTATTGGTGGTGTATTTTTCGTTCGATACCGTTTAAGATATCTTCGCCAAGGGATATCCATGGAATAAATCCTGGCTGTGGTTTATAGCCACACTAATGAGCTAGAAAGTACATTTAACAGAATTTGAAAATCTCACTCATTTCCCGGGAAATTAAGGAAAAACTGCAAAAATTTCATTAACAAAACGTTCCAAAAGTATTGGTGGTTTCTTATTTTTTATATCTAAAAGCCACAAACTTTTGAATTCGGAGTCACCAAGTTAATATAATATTCTTTATTGTTCATTTCAATTAAAATTGTTCTAGATTGGTCAAAGCACGCAGGATGTGCATGGCTGAGAAGACGGGTCTCATCCACATTCATAAAAGTGGCATTGGACCCACGAAAATCAATCTCCGGACCCCTGTTCAACTTCAAACAGTTCGGAATGTAATTATTAAGTGGAATTAGACTGATTCGGTGGTCAGCAAAGCTAAATTAGGCCCACCAATGGCAAATCCACCATGCCAAAGCCAAAAACTTATATTTAGCAGCGAGGGCAACCGTTTTGGGAAGGTCTCCGAGGTCATTAACACGTGTGTAGCGATAAATTTGTTTTGTCTTTGTAGTAAGAATGAAAGAAGGGTTCCACAGCTCCATTTGACAACATAAATCCCCACGCCATCACTAAAAAGATAAGGACGGCATTAGACTCCTCCAATATCATTGTATAAAGCACAAAAAATACCACCACTTTGAAAAATTACTGACATAAGATCCTCTGGTCCGATGCGGGTAAATTATGTTTTGTTGGAAGGGTAAACCTCACCATGTTTAACCAAAATCATATTACCGAATCAGAACAGATTTTGCCTCAAAAAAATGTGAAATAAGCTGGTGGTATTTTTTGTCCTTTATATGATACAATATGAGGAGTCTTCCTCAATCTTAAACGGTATCGAACGAAAAATACACCACCAATACTTTTGACAACCCACTGTATGTACATTCCAATAAATAAATTTTAAAACATACAGCTTTGCAAGGAAGAACTTCATGACTTTGTGGTGGCGGTCAGCAACGAACACTAATTAAAACAAAAATAATACTGCATAACATAATGTCGGATAACATACGTATGGATAGCATATCCCCATATGGATAACATAACATAATGTTTCGAATTTCTTTAAGTAAACACGAAACATCGGTTTGACAACTTAACCACCAGGGTAAGGGAAATCCCGGGGTTTTGCTTTTGAAAACTTACACCATCAATATATTTGGATAAAACTTGAAACGCTGGGTAAAATTTAAGAGAATTTGTAAAACAGTTTTATCCAACGTGACTAAATACTGCACCAAGTTTAAAGGGGTATCACTATAGTATTGGACAAAACGCTGAGGCGGAATTTGAAAAAAAACTATTGATAATTTTCCGAAAATAATTTTAATTTCCGATAGTCCAATTCAAGAGCTTTCTAACGGTGTAGGTATGTATGTAATTTCAGTGTGGG